ATTATTTGTTTTATAAATCTCATCAAACTTGTATGCATGCATTTTGCTAAATCATTTTCAATTAAATTTTGACCTAAAATAAATAAATAAATAAATTTAAATTTATTCTCCTTTTCTTTTAATAGAAAAAAAAAAAAAAAAAGGGAAAACTCACACGATGAAAGAGTCCATAATTTATCAAATTCGATTCCCTCAAATGTATCATCAATAATTGCATCGACAATTTTTTCAATTAATTCTTTTATTTGATCACCATTAGAAAAAATTGTATCTGAAATTAAATAAATAATTAATTTAATTTAATTTAATTTAATAAAAGTAAAAGTAAAGAAAAAAAAAATTTTTTTTTTACTCACATGAATAATTTTTATCATCTTCTTCGGTGAATAATTCATCCTCCGGTTTAATTTCTTCTTCTTCTTCTCTATAATCCAAAAAATAAAAAATTATTATCATCATCATCACCGATTTATTTTACATAAAAAAAAAATAAATAAACTTTACTTATTTTTATCATTTTCAATGTTATCAATTGAATTACAATCAAAATTTTCCGTTTTTGTAAATAACGTTTTACTTTCTAACAAATAAGAATCACCATCATCATCATCATCATCATCATCATCATCATCATCGTTCACTTTACCTTCTTTAATTGTATCTAATTTTAAATGTTTAATAACTTCTCGAGATTTTCTAAAACAGAAAAAAAAAAAAAAACATAAATTCCCAAAGAGGTATAACGAATGAAAAAAGAAAAACGGATAATGTTACAAAAAAAAGAAAAGTTAAACACTTCTTTTTTTTTTAAATATAATATAATAATATAATAAACAAACAAAATTAACAGATAATAATAATAATAATACTATAAAAATTCATCATCGTCTTCATCTAGACTGTCGTCATTTGAATATGGCGAATCGTGTGGTGTTAATAATGTTTCAAAATCTCTTTCGGTTTGTGATACTTTCACCAAGAGCACTTCCATACAGGTAACAAGAAATAATGTTAAAAATAATGCCATATTTCCACGCTGTCGATTTGATGAACCGCCATAATAAAAAACATTGGGGGGTTCAGTATAATCAATTAAAAGGGGCCACAGCATTACTATTAAAACTCACTTTTGGGTTCATATAAATTTAATTTTTATTTCATTTTATTTAATTCAAATTTTTTAAATTTGTGTAAAAATCGAGAGATTTGTGAAAACGAAATAAAAAAAAAAAAAATATTTTTCGACCTTGACACGGTTTTATATATAAACTCGTTAAAACCTAAACCTGATTGATGATTAAGGTTCACTTTATTTAATTATTTAAAATTCCTTGTTATTTACATTACTATCACATCAATTTTTTTTTTCTTTGTTAACTCGATCGAACGATTTAAAAAAAAAAAATAAATAAAATGGTAAACAAATAAATAAATAAATAAAATTATTAAAATAATTTAAAAAATAAAACTTGAGGAGAAAAACGCACATAAAACACTAAAAAAAAAAAAAAAAAATTCACAATTTACTTCTTCTTCTTCTACTACTCAGGTACTCAATTTAATAATTATATAATAATATCAGGTATTACATAAAAGTATGTTACGTTAAAAAAAAAAAAAAAAACTTTCACTCAAATTCTTCTTTTATTTCTTAATACAACAACAAACAACAAACAAATTTTTTATTTTATTTTATTTAGGTAATTATTTTACTTTTCTTAACAATTCGTTACGGTTAAAAATAATTTTTTTGTATAAAATAAAAAAAAAAAATTTTTTATTTATTAATTAAAAATAATTATCATTATGGAAGAATCAGGTATAAACCTGAATGAAATTTTTACATGCAGTAATAATTTATTTTACCTAATCGCAATTTAAATAAAAATTCAAAAATTAACGAATGAAGCACGTATTCTTTTTTTTTATCATAAAAATTAAATTTTTTATAACACGACAAAAATTAACACAGAAACAACAGGAACTACGGTTGTTTTATTTTACGTTATTTTTATGCGACGACAACAAACAACAAACAACAACAACAACAAAAATTATTTTTATTGTTAATTTTACCTAAACTTAAATTTTTTACAATTAAAATTAACGATACACGTTACCTTTTCGAATCCATTTATTTTTTTTTTTAATTTTTTAAAATCCAAATAATTATTTTAATCCCATATTTATTAATTTTTTTTTATAATTTCAAATTTTCTACCTGAATTTTTCAGGTTTTTTTTTTAAATAATAAATATCCGTCAACGTTGTTAAAAGAATCTATTAAATATTATTTCTACGGTCGAATAGTCATTAGTTACACTCTGTTATAACCTTTTATCTCTCTCTCTCTCTCTCACTCTTTCTCTCTCTTTTCACCGAAAAAAATAAAAAATAAAACTTTTTACTTTGAAATTAATTTCAATACTAAAAAAAAATATAAAGTTAAAGAGTAAATTTAAATAAAAAACCGGTAGTCACACACAAAGTTTTATTTCCTGTTATATAGACAGAATAATAAAATAGTCCGGGCAAAAACCTCAAAATTATTATTATTATTATTATTAATTTCCTTCTTCCAATGATAGAATATTATTTAAGAAATAATTTATAATGAGAGGGAGAGAGAGAGAGAGAGAGGGTCAAATACAACACACGTTTAAAAAAAATTTTTTTTGTTATTTACTTACCCAGCCCATTTAAATCCGAAAAAAGTTAAAAAAATGAATCCGAATGTTAAACCCATAAAAAATCCAATTGAAATCACATCATAAATTAAATTTAAAAAATCGGACATTTTTTTTTTTTTTTTAAACATAATTTTTATAATACATTATCAATAATAATAATAAAAAGAAATTTATTTTAAAACAATTATTATCTATTTTATAAGATAATAAATGTTCTTATCAATAGATCGATAACAGTGTTTAAAATTATTTTTTAATATGTTTTATAAATATATGTAATCGACCCAAAAAAAAATAATAATAATAATAAGTTACGAGAAAAATTAAATTTAAAAAAAAAAAAAAAAAGTTTACGTTGATGCCTAATGAAAAAACCTGATTACGCCTGAGAAAAAAAAAAAACATAAATATCAATAAATATTTTTTTTTTTTTTTTTTAAACAATAAAGAAATAATAATAATATAAGCAAAATAGTATACAAACATAAAAAAGACTCCGAAATTAGATGACGATGCAAAAATATTCAAATAAAAAAAAAAAAAAGTCGTTAATAATTTCTTGCACATTAATAAAAAACGTTTAATGAAACAACATAAAAAAAAAAAAAAAATTAATTTATTCAATATTGTTAATAATAATAATGATGACTTTTTTTTTTTTTTTAAGGTTTTAAATAAACTATAAAAATTTATAAATATTAAAATAAAAATGATTGATCGTATATATGTATATATATAATAAACGATTAAATAAAATTTTTTTTAAACAATATTATTTAAAATAGTACATAATAACAATTATTGTTTTAATATCGATTTAATTTCAAAATAAAAAAAATAAATTCAATTTAATATAATGATAAAACAACAATAATAATAATAATTACTATTACTATTACCGAGTAATAAATAAAAACGTGTGTATATATATAATAAAATATGTATATATATATAGAAAATAGTATATGTTGTATAAGTAATAAAATAAATAATAAAAAAATATCACAAGTTAAAAGGCTAGTTATTAAATTTAACACAGTTCAATGACTAAAATAAATGCATGAATATCAGAGTAATATAAAATATATATTATATATTATTATTGGTTACTTTCCACGGAATGTATAAATTCTCTTATTATGTATTAATTGCATATAATCGTATTCTTAAATCATAAATAATTTGTTCTCTTTTTAGAGAGAGAGAGAGAGAGAAAAAGGATTTTTATAAAAGCGGTTTTGTTTCATTTAATGATTCTGAAAGATCAGTTCTTTTCATAACGGATTTGATCGACACGACAGCCAAAACTCCGATGATGGCAGATCCTCCGCATACGTACACGATGCTGTCCTTGTAAAAATTTGGACACTCTCCGCATTTTCTGTAAAAAAAAAAAAAAAAAAATTAATAATTAGTTAAACCGCAACAATCGAATTAATATTCACACAATTAATATTCATTATTTATAATTAAAAAGAATTAAATAATTAAAGTATTCATATTATTTATTTTCTTATTTGTAATATTCATTTCATTTTATCGGCGTGACTTTGTATGAAATTAAATGAAAATTATGTTTACATGTATTGAATAACCATAACGATAATTCCGTTAGATAATTTATCAAAAAAGCTCATGGCTCCGTAAACAAAGGCACCAGTCGATGTGTCAAATCCTATTAAATCTGCCGTTAATCCCAACGATGTTACTATTAATATTGATCCACTTATACCTGCAAAATAAATAATTAATTTTTTTAATATTATACAAATTATTTACTTTTAATTTATTTTTTTTTTTTTATTAATAATAATAAATTTAAATGTACTTCTTAAAATCATAAATATTTTGTTTAATTTGGATTAGAGACTTTAAGTCAGGGAGGTAACGAAAAAAGATAATAATACTGATAATAAAATTGTTTTAAATTTTAACCGTGTTATGATCAGTTTAATTACACAATCTGAAATACTCGAGTAATGTTTGTTGTAAGCAGTTTTGTTTTGTTATTTGAAAACAAAATATTGTACATTTATTTATTTTTCTGATAAGACCATTTTTTGATTCATTTAATTAGTTTTAAAACAATACAAAAAATTATTATTATTAATATCCAATTTGTTCAAATGGTAAAAAATTTTATAATAAAATTTTACATACCTAACAAGATGGCACAGGGGTAAATTTCAATATCACCATGAACACCAAATTTTATCCATAAACATGCAGAAAGGCCAATGGCTGCTCCGAAAACGTAAGAGACCTATTTAATAAAAAAAAATTAAAATAAATTCTGATTATAATTTAATAAAAAACAATTTTATTATTATTATTAATATTAATTTTTTTTTAATCTCCCACTTACTTTTCTTCCAAAATTTTTATTCAAGGAACTAACTATAGTAGATGCAGCAATACTTCCTAAATACATTAGTAGCGGTACAACTGCTAAATTTTCTGGTTTCTTTAAAAGTGTCTCATGAACATACAGAGGTATATAAACCTGAGATATGTTTGCTAAGAGGCGACTGCACATATATCCGATAGCCACCTAAAATTTTTTTAAAAAAAAAAAAACAAAATATCACAAAAGGAGTTTTTAGAGAATGTCATCAACGAAATTTAATTAACAATTTTACACACTTCACAGTGTGAAGTGTGTGTTTTTTTACTTTTAACTAAAAGTAAAAAAGAATGAAAAAAAAATGTGAAATAACAAAAAATATTTTTTACATAAAATAATATTTTATTTAATACCTGATAAAATTTATTTTCCCTGATAAAATGCAAAATTTTTTTTTTTGGTCTGTCTCCTATCACAGTGTTTTCTATTAAGTTTTCTTTTACTCCCAAATGAAATATAATGGAAGTAATAAGTCCAATAGTTAAACCAATGAAAACAACTCTTTGAAATTGAAAATAATCACTGGGACCTATTAATGTTGTAGAATTATAACCATCTCCAGATTTCAATGAAATCCAAGTAACAACATAAATAAAAATGGTTGAAGCAACTGTAAAACTGTATCTGCTCAATTAAAAAAAAAAAAAAAAAAAATTAAAGTTAATAAAATGTATTGCAAAAGACAAAATAATTTTAATAAGATAAATCACTAAGGTATTTTACCTAATGGATGTTAACTGAGTTCTTTCGTTTTCATTTAAAGTGAGCTCAGGTATTAATGCTAAATGAGAAATTTGCACTGCTGCCCAGCCGAATTGAAATATAATAACAAATGAAGCATAATAAATCACTTGAGCATATATATGAGCTCCTTTACATCCAATGCATGGAGTAAATATAAATGGAAAACTACATATAATGCAAATTATTCCGATAAGGTGCCACGTTTTCCTTTTTCCATATTTAAAGCACCACATGCCATTGTTTTTGTCTGATTCTATACCTAAAAAACTGTTTTTATGAAAAAAAATTTTTTAACTTCAATTTATAAACAACTACTAAAAATTTATTTTAATTATTTTTAATTTTATGTCGTTAAAATAAAATTTTGTATTTGTTTATTTCATTGAAAAAATTTATAAATGTAATGAAATAGAAAGATATTTAATTAAATTTAATAAATTTGAAATAGGTTAAACTTAAATTACGTAAGACCCGATTAATCTACAAAATCAATATCAAACGATAATTTGGGTTAGGAAAATTGTCAATAGTTGTCAACACAAAAAAATAAATATAAAAAAATTCAAAAACATATCCTGTCATTATTTTTTTAAATATAATATTCAAAAAAATTCAGTTAAAATAATAATATAATTTTACTTTACCCACAAACGGCGTCGAAACTGCATCGGCTATTTGTCCTATAAGTAGAATAGTTCCAGCATTAATTGGATCAAAATTTAAAACCAAGTGAAAAAATACAAGTAAATAAGTAAACCACATAGAAGCACATATGTCATTTATCACATGACCAAGCCCGTATGACAGCCATACCCGCCAGGTTAATGACGCCTGAGGATTCCTATTTGACGAATCCGGCGAAGCATTCATTTTACTAAATAAAAAAAAAAAAAAAAAAAACAAAATAACTAAAGCTTAAATTAAAATAGAACCGTGCTCCGCCATGTTTCTGTATTTAATAATTTTAAAAAAAGTATTGCCAACTTAAATTGAAAATTTTTAAAAAGTATTGCCAACTTAAATTGAAAATTTTATAAAGTATTGCCAACTTAAATTGGAAATTTTAAAAAGTTTTGTAGGCAGTGTTTAAGTTATTAGAAATAATCATGTCTACCTTACTTCAGAAGTGCTCAAAACAAAACTTTTATAAAACGGTTTCGGCATTGGTCCGAGAGAAAAAAACGAAATGTAGTGCAAATATTACAATGACTGACGATAGTTCTGTTGTGGTTTGTTGGCATCCAGAAGAATCTTATCCTTATGAAATGTCTCAGCCTATAAAAGAAAAAAAAAAAATTGTTAGTAACTCGTTACTTAAAGTTCAGTCTAATAAGGAACTTTTGTCTGTCCTAAAACCCAAACGTAAAGATTTAGTCAGACAAGAATTGATGGCTTTAACTCATTCTCAAAAGCATGTTTGGTTTCCACCAAAGTTTCAATTTAGAAAAAAACAACAACCAGAAAAAGATAGACCTTACTTGTAATGATAATGTGTTATTACAATTATTTAGCTTGTTTCTTCTTCCTTAGATACTTATTATTATTGTTTTGAATAAAAATAATTGATTTTATTTATTAATAAATTTAATCACTTAAAAGTTCACTATAAAAAATAAAATTGATACTGTTTATGTATGTTTTTTCAACTTAAATTAAAATGTAAAAATCATAAAAGAAAAAAATAACTTTAATGTAAAACTTGTAAAAGAATTTAAAATTTATAAAAACATTAAAATAAATAATTATCAAAGAAACATATATATCAAAGTGTTAAAACTTAAATTGGAACAAACTGTTAAATTAATGAGTTTGTTAATTTCTTTAAAATTTGAGTAAATATTGATTTAATTTTCAATAAATAAGTTTTTATTTTTAATTACAATCTGTAAATTAATTTAATAAAAAAAATTAAATTTAACTTTGATACATTTATATTTATTTTTTAAAATAACTTAAGAAGCCTATGTATTTATTAAAGACACACTATACATATATTTAATAAAAAGTTATAATGACACTAATGTTGTTTGAGAATTAAAAATAAAAAATGAAAGATGCTTTTTCTCCTTAACACATGTCAATGCTGTTAATTCAATAAATAAAAAAAAAAAATACTTTTCGAGCTTTTTGTATTAAACAATTTTGTTCAGTATTGAATAATTGAAGATGTAGTAATTTTATAGTATTTTAAATAATTTTTTTTTATTGTTTTTAATCAAAATACAGTAAAACTTATTTTTACAATAAAAATTCAATTTTTTATTAACTATTCATCATATTAAAAATTGCAAATTATGTATACGAATACATATCAAGATACTAATTACATATATAATTGTTATACTTTAAAAACTAATCAGGTAAATTTTGTTGAAAACTAATTCGACTTACTTTTTAACTGTTGAAGTTGAATAAAATGAACTTTATAAACATATTCAATGTATTTATTTAAATAATTATGACTGCTTTCTGCATTGTTAATTAGTTGTTTCTCCAGTGAGATCATTTATTTTTTGAGCCAATTTAAAAAGATAAGGTAATTTTTTTTTTTTTTGCTGTAAAATTTAAACTGTGAACCTAGAGTTTTAATATTTAAATTGGTTACCTGAAGAAGGCAATAGAATTTATATTTAAAATTTAATTTTTATTTTAGAATAAAGATTAATAAAAGAAAAATTCAAATATACCATTTAAGAAATGATTCCTTTTTTTGGTCAAATGGCAAATTAATAAAATCAAAAGAAAATACTCCAATTATTCTCGTTTTGTTTTTTTTTTTAAATATATATTTATTCAATTTTCCTCTTTTTTACAAGTGATCCCAACTAAAAATAAAATTATTTAAATTAATGAATTTATTAATTAATAATAAATAAAAATAATTACTTACAATATCGGATATTGCCGGAAGCTGAGAAGTTTGATCGACGACGGGTTGAGACTCGGGTGGAGGTGGAGGCTGTTTAATTTTTAAATTTCTATGCTGAGGAAACGATGGCATTAATTTTGGATCACAAGCTTAAAATAAAAATAATACAAAATTTAAATCAATTTGACATTAAAAGTCATTTTTTAAAATTTATTTTATATATTAAAAAAAAACTTACGATAAGGTGCTTCTTTGAAATATGAACTTTGTAAACATTCTTCGGCCGTTGCCCTTTTTTTCGGGTCGTACATAAACAAAAAGTTTAAGAGTCTTAAACCAGCAGCAGACAACCATGGAAAACGTTGTTTTAAATTATTGTAAGGCTGCTGTTTTAATGTAAAATTTGCAAGGGCAGGAAGAGAAGAATACTCTGGCCAAATTGCATCCGATGGAGTCCCAAGAAGGTCAACAATGAGCTCCAATTGCCCTAATTCAGTTCTTCCCGGTAAAAGTGGTCGATGGCCTACATCAAAAATATTGATTATATTTAAAAAAAAAGTAACGAAAAAGTGAAATTTTTTATCTGATCATCATGTAGCCAAATTAAAGAAATAATAAAAATATAAAATTTTATTATATTACTGATCGAAGCATTATTATTATTATTATTATATTTAACTTGCATTCAATAGTGAACGTTTTGCTTTAAGCAACTTTTTATTTTAATCTGGAAAAAAGTATGGCTAAACAATTTTTACCACTAATTAAATAAATGACTTTGTAACACAAAAAGAAAATGTGATAAATAATTACGATAAAAATTTATTTACTTTAAACGCAAAAGAAGTGTAAATAAATATGAAATAAGAAGGCGTCATTAATTACTTCAATATTTTCACCATAATTATTTAAACTAAAATAATTTAAAATTTAAACAATTAATACAGTAATATTACCCAATCTGTACAATTATATACCTGACTTTACATTCATTTTTGTTTTTCTATAAATATGGGCAATACCCACACCACTATTAAGAAATAATTGCTTATTTTAACAACATAAAAAGAAAGTGGTTACCCAATATTTCTCCGAGAATGCAACCAGCTGCCCACATATCTACACTAGTAGTTTGAGTTCTAGCTTGTAACAAAAGTTCAGGTGCTCGATACCACAAAGTGACTACATTTGGAGACATTGGTCTTACAGGCAAACCAAACCATCTTGCTAAACCGAAATCAGCTAAAATAAATAAAATTATCTTGTTAACAAAATATCAAAAAAATTATCATCAAGGAATAATTCTCTTTCCATACAATTAATTAAATATTAAGTTTAAAATTTAAAATATAAATAATTAATTTTAAACCTGTTTTTTTTTTGTTTACAAACAATTAACAGTTATGTCACAATGATAAAAACTTAAATTTATTTTTTTTTTTTAAATATGATAAACATACATATGATTGCAAGTTCAAAATTTAAGTTTTTAAAAATTAATAATATCTCTAAAGCATTATCTATTGCAAAATATACTGAAATTACAAGATATTGTATATTTTTATTTTTTTACTTTGCTTACCTATTTTAACACAGCCTTTGTCAGTCATGAGTAAATTTGAAACTTTCAAATCCCTGTGTACAATGAAGTTGCGATGAAGATACTTCAAACCTCTTAATACTTGTATCATTATGCATTTAACTTGTGACTCGCTAAAAGGAGCCTGCATATTATCAAGCAAACTTGCAAGATCTTGTTCACAATATTCCATTACTAAAAATATACTAAAAAAAAATTTAATTACATTATAAGACTAAAGGAATGTAGAAAGACATGATTAAATATTAAGAAATTACCAAAAAATTTAAACTTAATTGAAAAATTTTTTCAGTAAAATAGTAAAAATATAAACTGCAATTTTTGTTTGAAAAAAAAAAAAAAACAATAAAATTACCTTTCTAAACTTCTTCCAACAACTACTTCTTTTAACAAAACAATGTTTTCATGCCTACAATTTAGTAGTACAGATATTTCTCTAAGCCCACTCACTGGCAAACCATCTTTTTCATGTTCCATTCTTACTTTTTTGAGTGCCACAACTTTATCACTTTTTGTGTCTTTAGCTCGATCTGCAAATAAAATTAAGAACAAATAAGTAATTTACAATTAATTTAATTTGAAAAATTACTTTAAATTACCACAATTCATTCTGATTTATTATGTAATGTTTTATTTAAAATTCAAAACACTATTTTTTCTAACCTGAAAAAAATTTACAAAAAATTGATATTTGATACTTACATACTATGCCATAAGTTCCTTCTCCAATGCGATTTAATTTTTCAAATTCTGACACAAACCGACATCTTCCTAACTGTTAAATAAAAAAAAAAAAAAAAATCTCTATTAAATAAAGTAAAACAAAATTAACACTAATTAAAAAATTAATAAGCTTTGACTGATGTGCAAAATGTAAATATTAATAAAATGAATATGTATTTACCAATAAAACATTTATAAGAAATAATTTAAAAACAAAATTTGTCAACAGGCATTACTTTAATATTCATTAGACACTTCAAATAAATACATTGCAAATTATAATTCTTGAACTAATATCTCATTTGCGTTTTCTTTTCTTATATTTTTGTTATTAAGATAAATGTTTTTATTTTAAATAAGAATTTACAAAATAAAATTTAAAACTTCTTGACATTAAAATTATGATGCAGGATTAAGTATTATTAGTAAGGATAATTTTTTTTTCACTTGCCATATCTTGTTCAGGAATTTCCATAGATTTTCCTGTAGACAAAGACATAAGTAAACCTTTTCGTGTCACCGGAGCACTCGGGTCGGGTCCAGGTTCTCTACAAACATCTTTCTCTACAGAATTTTTCATATTGCCTACATAAATATAAAAGTTTGTTAAAAATTTTTTTAAAAAAAAAGGCAATTTTAAAAAAATGAAAATAAAAATAATTATGAGACTCACTAGGTGAATCTTTAAGCATGTTTAAATGGAACACTACATATAAAACAGTGAGTAGAATAAATATGTTTAAGTGTTTATTTTTTAATGTTCCGTAAGATCTGAATACTTTAATGAGCCGGTGTAAAACGCAAGAGGCGTCATTTCATAGAGAAAATAAAACTTTTTACGTTAAATAATTTTTTTACAAAAAGGCAGTGGTGTGGTTGCAGAATTGCTTTGAAATTGAAATTAGTCGTTTAGCTTGTATATTTTCTAAATTTCTAAATTAGGCTTATTATATTGTTTAATGAATAGTGTTTAATTGTGTAATTATTTATTGTAATATTTATACATTCCCTGTTTAATAAATAAAAAAAATTGTACTTAAAAAACTAGATTTTATTTTAACTTTTGGGAAGTGTCATGAAAATTTATAAAAACTTATTTTTCATAATTAACCAATATTAATGAAAATGCAGAGAAGTGGTTAGTTTTCTTTAAGTTTACATTTTGGGTAGTCAAAAAAAAAAATTTTTATTGGCGCGAAAATTGCGTCAAGCGTGATGTTTTTATATTATTCATAAATTGAAAATATTATATATATATATTTATGTTTTTTTATATCTCTTGTTTATTAAATATAATTAGATAAAATAAGATATTTGAATTCAAGGTTTAAGGCTTTGTACTTTATCTTACTCTTATTCGTTATTTACGATAACACACGTTTAGTTATATATAATTAATGTATTTTATCGAAAATTATAATTTAAAATTATTAGAATAAGAGCTCCTTTATATTTACGCAGAAACAAGCCTTTAGTTTTTTAAAAAAAAAAAATTTTTTTTTATCAAATACTCCCAATCGTTATTTTGAAATTTTTTTCTTTCCGGTGCTGTTTCATTATCTGCCACAACTTCAAATTATCTTCATGAACATTCCAGCGGTAAGTAACATTTTTATTATGTTAGTATTAGTTTAAAATATTATTATTATTAACATTACCTTTTTGTTGTCAAAATTTATTGAGAATGGCCAATATTTTGAGAAAGATACCTGAAAAAGAAAAAAGATTTGAATAAATAAACATTATTTTCAAAAAAAGAAAGTAATTTTACAATTTTTAAAATTACTTTAATAAAAAAAATTTTTTTCTTAATTATTATATATATTGATCAAAATATTTTGGGGCCTAATTGAAATTCTTATAAATTCTTAATAACACTAATTGGGACTTTAGAATTTACTTTAAATTTCAATTTGTGAAATAAGATAAAAAAAACATATTTCATTTATTTAACATTTAATATTTTAAAGCTTTTATTAATTTTGACAATTTCGTTTAACACAATTTAATCTTTATATTATTGTATATTTTTCCGAACAAATTCAATACCTTCAATAATTTAATTAAAATATTTATTTTTTTTTTTTAAATTTAATGAATGTGTCAATGATAATAAAGAAATGATAATCTTTACTTTGTTTATACTACTTTAACTGATTTTTTATAGAGCTATACTAAAATATACAATATATTATATATAAGTATGAGACTATATTCGAATTTGTATCGCTTAAGATTGTGATCTCGTAAACTTATGACTAGTTTTTTATTAACACAACATTTGTTTTATTAATTTATATAATAATTTCAATTAATAAGAGACTAATCCTTTGATTTACTTATGGTATTGTTGTTTATTTACCACTGCTTTAAAATCTTGGTATTTTCCTAAAAACAAAAAAAAAAAAAAATTGTCTTGTTCTTAAGGGTTTTCTTAATTAAAATGATGATGTGTTTTTAATATAAAATTATAACTAGTGTAAAGTGATCATGGATTATTATTATTATTATTATTATTATTATTATTATTATTTAATAAACCTTTTGAATGAAAATATTACAGTAAAATTTATCGGTGCGTAAATAATAATAGTAACGTATTTCAAGTTAGTTTTTTTTTTATTATAGAATTATTATTCATTGTTTACAAAAATGAATAATGCTTGTCAACTTTAGTCATTTTTGATTTTTTTTTTTTTTTAAACAATAAGATAAGAGTATTAAAATTGGAAAAATTAAATTAAATTAATAGTAACGTATTAGTTTTTAGTTTTTATTATTATTATTTTTTTTTTTACCAATTAGTAGCATTTTAACTTATGTATTATCATAATTAAATGTTTTGATTTAAATATTTAATCTAAATGAATCACAATAAAAAATTTTGAAACTGCATAATACTCAATGAAATCATCAATTTTTAAATAAATAAAAAAATTTAAGGAATCTTAAAAGTTTAAAAAAAAATAATAATAATAATAAAGAATTTTTTTTTTTTTTGTTCTATCAAATAATTATCGGTTTACGTTATACATGATATAAGTGGTTTTTTTGCGGCTCAATTATAAGGTCATGAAAAAATTATTTTATTAAATAAAAAAAAAAATAAAAAAATATTTTGAAACAATAAAAATTTCTCAAGCAAATTGATACCATTAGTAGCTTATCAAATAATTAAAAAATTAGTAATAATATTTGATTTCAATTGAAAATAATAAACTTTTTGAATGACAAAAACAAATAAAATAATATTTAAAACAAAAAAAATTTTTTTTTTTTAAATTTTCTTCTGTTTTGAGAATAATTATGTTAAATCTATTGTTTAAAAAATAAATAAATAAATAAAAAACAATAACAAAAATTATATTGATTGTAAAAAAAAAAAAAAAAAGTTAAAGTTTGGTTCCTGTGTGAAAAGAAAAAAATCCAAAAGCGTTGTGTGAACTCTTAGCAAGAGATTGCCACTCCCATTTGACTCAGTTTTAGTTTTGCTCTTAACCGGTCAGCATGAGCTTTTCGTTATTATTATTATTATTATTATTTTCTTTTTAATTTTTTCTTTTGTTTCGATTTTCCCCATCAAATCGGAGTATTATATATAAATATGTGATTATTTATTTTTTTTTTCTCAATTTTTACATATAAAGTACAGAGAAATAGTTTTCTTTTTTTTTTAAATTTTTTATTTTTTTAAAAATTTGTTTATAACTTGGTTGTCGATCTTAAAGAAAAAAAAAAAAACGTGAGTCCCTCCTTGACATTAAACAGAAAAAACTAACTAACTTAATTAAATGTCGATATAATTATTACCTTAAAAAAAAAATTTATTTAATTATTATCAATTGAATAGTTTATGATCTCGGTTAGTTTCATATATATAAAATTAAGTTTCGAGCCATTATAGTATTTTAAAGCAACGTTTTTTTATGTACCAGTGCAAAAATATTATTTTTTCAATTATAATTAACAACAAATTAAAATTTTTCTTGTTATTTTTAAAAATATATATATAAAATTAATTTTTCCGAAAAATGGTGACTTATCATTGTTATCTTAGTTCATATATATTGAAAGTGCAAGTACAAATATTTAAATTTTGACTTTTAAAAAATTTGTTTTTCTCAATTAAACAAAATCGAACTTGTGAAAAAAAGTATCGAATCAAAAAAATAAATAAATAAATAATAATAATAATGGATACTAACATAAATTCTGGCAATGTAAGTAACGGATCAAAAGTGACCTCTCCCCGATCTTCTGGAAATAATTTAACTGCTCCAGGATCTTACATATATACGAGCAGTGCCAATATATTATCCCAACGGGAAAAACCTCCCTTATTACCTAAATATCAGGGATACACTTCATCAAGTGCTGCTGCTCCTGCTGCTACTACTACATCTTCCTATAGGTTGTCATCTTTTTCAGGAAGAACAAAAATATCTGATACAGCTGTTTCCGGAGATCCTACCACGGTGAGATTTTTAAATAAGAGGATCCGAATCATTAAAAAAAAAAAAACATTCATAAAATATAAATAATAATAATAATAATATTATTATTATAAAAAATCATACCGATAAACTCAGAAAAAAACCGATGTAAAAAATTGATCCGAAAAAAAAAAAATTTTTTTGATCATGCTCAGTTTATCCCTTCGAAATTTTTCCCTCTTTTAATCACGAATTTTCTAGGGAAGGGAAAAATTTTGTTTTTCATCCCTTCATTCAGTGTAAAATATTTTTTTTTTTTTTACCTTTTACTTGATTGCGTTGTCCTTTTTGTAGATTCGCATAACTTGCTTCTTACTGAAAAAAAAAAAAAAAAAAAAAAATTTTTATTAATAAAAATAGGGTTAATAATAATTGTAGAAAAACAAAACAATATTTTTAAATAAACACACATTGTGAAAGGTCTACTTACTGTTTAATTTTAACTTGAAGCTAATCGTTAAAAAATATATTTAAAAAAAAAAAAATAATAATAATATATGTTGGGGACATATTCAAAAACAAAAAAAAAATTTTTTGCCCTAAAATATATTGTATGATATAATTATATTATTTATTATTAAAAAATTTATTTTTTTTACACTTGTTATTATTAAAATCGATTTTTAAATAATATAAGTGGATAAATTTATTATTATTAATATGATTTTTAATAAACATAATGTTTGATTTTAATGCAAAATTATTTACGTGATTTTCAATCTTTTAAAAACATTAAAAAAAAAACAAAGTTTAAGATAAAGTTAAAACACAAAATTAAATTTAAAAAATGAGTAATCATTTAAAAATTTTTTTCATTCATACCTTTTAATAAATTTTTACTTGATTAAAAAGTAAATGTTAATATTTTATGGGGGGGAGAGGGGAGGAGGGAGGGGGAAATAAGTAACCAAAAAGAAAAAATTGATTTTGTTAACATTCGCGTGAATTCAAATAATAAAACTCTGATTATTGATTTCGACATTTTTTTTTTAACTTTTTCGTAATAAATTCATGGCGTCTGTTAAATAAATTTTAGTAATTATTATAATTTTCTTTTATCGATTAATGTTTTCCATATAATTAATATATAAATTTTTTTTTTTTTTTTCAGTTGCAAGCGAAGCGTGAATTATTTTTTAAAAATGAACTTCCCAATAGTAGTGGAGCAGCATCCATTCCATCGAATGTGTCTTCAAATGGTATCGTAGTAGGAACAAATAATACAAATCTTTTAGTAAATTCCAGTGCCATCAAGGATTCTTACACTAAAAAAGGTAAATTTTCCAGTATTATTATTATTATTATTATTATCATCATTACGAGCATTCCGTTGTACAGCACTCGAGTATGAAAATTCAAAATTTAAATATTTCAATTTAACAAAATTTCCTTTTAAAAAAAAAAAAAAAAAAATTATTTATAAACCGCAATTTGAATTGTTTTTTTGACCTTTTTTTTTTTTTTTTTTTTTTAAAAATTGAACTTTTTATTTACCTACTGAAAATGTCATTTTTTAAAAAAAAAAGTGACTTTTAAGTTAAATAACAAAATTATTTTGTTTGTTTTTTTTTCTGCCATTTTTACAGTCTAAAGTTTAAAAAAAAAAAAAAAAAAAAAAAAAAATTAGTTAAATTTGACTTTGTAACCTATTAAATTCTTTTTTGATTTTTTTAATTAAATTCTAATTTAATCGATTAAATGATTCTCTCAAGCAGAAAAAAAAATTTAATAAGAAGGTTCATTTAAATTTACAATTATACATATATACATACATATGCATGCGTACCTGTATGTATACTTGTTAAAGATTTTTCGACAGGAGTTTTTTTTGATTGAAAATTTCCTTTTTCTTTTTGTTTAGCGGTTGAAAATGGCGACGGAGATTCAATAAAACCTCCATTATTTGTTAAACCTACAGAAACCAAGAGGCCAAAAGAGTTAGATGGTTACGTAGGTTTTGCAAATTTACCCAATCAAGTGTACAGAAAAGCAGTAAAAAAAGGATTCGAATTCACGTTAATGATCGTCGGTGGGTTTTTTTTTTTTTACCATTTTAACCCGTCTGCCCGCGAACTTTAAAAAAAAATATTTTATAATATGTCATAAAATAATTTTTTTTTTTTGTTAGGAGAGTCAGGTTTGGGTAAATCAACATTAATAAATTCCCTTTTTTTGGCTGACGTTTATTCAAGTGAATATCCAGGTCCATCGTTAAGACCTAAAAAAACCGTGACCGTGGATACGACGAAAACATTACTTAAAGAAAATGGTGTTAATTTAGCATTGACTGTCGTTGATACACCTGGTTTTGGCGATGCTGTCGATAATACAAACTGGTACTACGAAAACCTAAAAAAAAAAAAAAAATTGTTAATTTTTTGTTCTTTTCCCTTATATAAAACCTAAAATTTCATTTTCAGTTGGCAACCAGTTATCGAATACATAGAAAGTCGTTATGAAGAATTTTTAAATGCAGAATCTCGGGTGAATCGTAAATCGGTACCCGATAATCGCGTCCATTGTTGTTTGTACATGATTTCACCTTCTGGACACGGGTTGAAGCCTCTCGATGTGGAACTCATGAAACGTCTTCACGACAAAGTGAATCTTATTCCAATCATTGCCAAAGCCGATACCATGATTCCAGAAGAATGTGCAACTTTTAAAAAGCAGGTTGGTTTCGCATCGGAATACCGTACCTGTACTTTACATTCGATCCTATTTATTGTACGTTTTCTTTTTTTTTTTTCAAAGATCATGACAGAAATCTCTCAACACAAAATTAAAATATACGAGTTTCCTGATAGTATGGACGAAGAAGAATCGAAATTACACAAAGTACTCAAAGACAGAGTTCCCTTTGCTGTTGTCGGTTCTAATTGTATAGTTGAAGTTGATGGTAAAAAAATCAGAGGTCGAAAATATCCGTGGGGTATCGCCGAAGGTAAAATTCATTTGAATGTTCTCCCACACGATGAGTATTTCGGGTAGTACCTGAAAATAAAAAAATAATAAAAATTTGATTTTAGTTGAAAATTTGGAACATTGCGATTTTATAGCACTTCGAAATATGGTTCTTAGGACGCATCTTCAAGACTTGAAAGAAGTTACAAATAATGTTCATTATGAGAATTATCGTTTCAGAGCTTTGGCCGGAATGGCACCTGATGGAAAACCTGCCAGATTGAATAACAAGTGAGTTTAATTTTCCTTTTTATTTATTTATTTATTACGTGTTCGTAACTTTGTATATTAAAATCAAAAAGTTTATTTAAAATAATATTAATAATAATAATAATAATAATAACATGTATGGTTATCAATGTTTATTCAAATATTTACTTTATTCATGTAATTCATTCATTAACTTTGTATGAATGTTGGCGGGGGGTAGAGAGAAAGGAAGGTGTAAATGGAGGATATATATAGTAGGCTCATGCATCATAAATGTTTTTTGTTTCCCCTCCCCCCTCCCACCCCCATACATACATACGACAACCATTTACAACATTTGTTAGTATTGGCAATAAAATTAGTGAACCTTTTTAGTTTAATGCAGCAAGGCGTCATGAATACTTTCATGGCTGTTTGGTAAGTTATCCTTTTTCCAGGAATTTTTATTTATTTTATATACATTGAGTGATTAATTTTTTTTTATTAATTATTGTCGACAGATTTTAAACAGTACACACACACACACACACACAAAATGTTTTTTTTATGTGTCCGTGAATCATTTATCATTAATTAAAATTCATTGTTATTTTAAATGTTAGTGTTAGTTAGTGTTGGAGAAAAAAAAGAAAATTCTCACGAGTTTTTTTTTTTTT